AAAGTTAACTATAACCGAATAAAAGGAGCCGGCCAAGAGGCCACCTTAACACCAAAAAAAAAAAAAAAAAAAAAATTCTTGGCTCTCATTATCTTTACTGCTACTTTTAATATCCTCATACTCCTTATTTTCTCTAATACTGCTATTATTAAATTTATAATCTTCAAACTCCTCATTTTCTCTAACATTGCCATTATTAAATTCATAATCTTTATACTTCTCATTTTCTCTATTACTGCTAATATTAAATTCATAGACTTCTTTATATTCATTGATTTTTCTAACACTACCAGCATTGAATTCATAGTCTTCTTTATACTTTACATTTTTATTAACATCTGATAAAACGCTAAAATCATTAAAGGCATTAGTTCAACTAGGTCACTTAATCTAGTTATTTATAGATATTGATGTATTTCTGGCTAGTTTAAAGTACTATAATAATTAATAATTTTAAAGGTATCAGTATTATTCAAATTACTAGTACTCAAAAATGATGAAAGTTGCTAATTAAAATCATTAGTATTGTAATTCATTATGCACAGAAGTAATATAAAATCATTTCAATAATAAATATATAAAAAAGCGAAGTTGTTCTTTAATAAACACATGAGAGAACAAATACATCATATGCTATATAAATATAAATAAATAAAAAGTAGATTTGTATAATAACATAATATGATACAAGATTGAAACAAATAATACTGTATTTAACATAATCTTATCTATAATATAAATAGAGTGGTATTCAACACCACAGGCACGATTTATAATAATTGATTTATAATATAATAAAATACAAAATTTTAAAAAACTATACTATAGATAGTTTTTTATAATTATCTTATGGTCCAGTAATCTAATTTTAACATTTTTGCTACCATTTAAACTGTCTCATTAAGATAAATTAAATAATATCAAAATTATCAAATTTAGACTATTAGTTAACAAGATAATTAGATATTTTAAAATTTTAGTTAAATATAATTATTTCATAATCTAGTGATCTAATGATTTTGATTATATATGCTACTGAAATAGATTTTTAAAAAACTTTATTTTGTCTCTATTAGAGCAAATTTAAATTTTTTATATGCAAGAGCAAATCTAATTTAGGTAGTTATGTTCTTTATAATTTCGTTTCTTTAAAAAAAGTATCAAAAATTTTATTTTTTAAATAAAATAGATCAAAAATAATTTTGTCTTCAAATTTTAATTTTAGATTTTAGACTCTAAAATAATTTTGTTAACATGTTTAATTTTGATACTATTCAATTCATCTCAATAAAATAGTTTGAATAATATCAAAATCATTAAAATTGGATTACTACATCAGCAAATTTATAATAGCGTAATCTTACATAAGATCTTACAAACTATAATATAAGCAAAATATTTTGTAATATATTTCAAAATATTTTGAAAAATCAAATTTTCGAAATATTTTGTAAGTAATTTCGAAATATTTTGAAATATATTACGAAATATTTTAAATACTTTCAAAATATTTTAGAACTAGAAAACCAAGCTAGATCAGTAGATTTGTAATCTAAATCGCATAATAGACTAATATTTTGAATTAGTTCGAAATAGTTTGATGAAATTAAATTCTGTTTTACAAGATCAGATTAGATCTTTTGTTTATAATTAGATCTTCTATTTTGTTTTTTTTACTTTTTTGTTTTCATTTTGTTTTTTATTATCATTTTATTTTTTGTTTTTGTTTCATTTTTTTCAATTTTTTTTTATTTATTTATTTTTTAATTTTTTTATTTTATTTTTATTTTAACACTTTACAAAAATATCTTTGCAAGAAAACAAACAACAATTCGAAACCTTGCACATACCAACTCAAACTTCTAATACATTTAAAAATACACAACTGATTTCTCTAACAATTATTAAATTTCTAGAAATGCTTCTTTAGAGAAATAGACACAAGATTTCACAAGTATTCGCAAGTTTTCATAAGTATTTGCAAGTTCTTGCAAGGTTTTGCTTTATTTATTTTTTATTTTATATTTTTTGTTTTTGTTTTTTTTTTATTTTATTTTTAAAATTTTTTATTAATTTATTTTATTTTAGCACTTTGCAAAAACAAAACTCTTACTTTCTAGCAATTTCAAAAAAACCAACTCAGACTTTTTTGGTATTATACAACTTTTTTGGTATTTTGCAAGAACATTAATTCAGCTTTTGCAATTTCTGAATTTACAAGAATATAAACTCTTATTTTAGAGAAATAAAGATTTGGGGTTTTGTTTATTTTTTTATTAGTTTCTTATATTTTTTGTTTTTTTTCATTTTTTTTTTACTTATTTTTTTATTTATTTATTCCTAATTTCTTTAACACTTTGTGACTTTTTCTGGCAATTTGCAAGAAATTGTACAAGATTTTAAAAAAAAGCAAATTAGTGCGATTCTTATTAAAAAAATTCATAAACTTTCAATATATAGAATATTAAAATTAGCTATCTCAGTAAATATTGGGCCAATTTTAATGATTTAACTATCATTATAACCAGAATAAGGTGCTGAATATTGCTACTTATTGAAAGTTTTTAAATTTTCTTAATATAATTCGCTCTAAATTACTTTTTTTTAAAATCTTGTACAATATTATACATTAATTGTAAATTTAATTTGCTGATGTTTAATTTTTATTTCATGTTTTTTGTTTTTGTTTTTTTTGTTTTATTTTAAAAATTTTTTTATTAATTTATTTTATTTTAGCACTTTGCAAGAATCGAACCCTTATTTCTTGGCATTTTCAAGAAAACTAACTCAGACTTTTTCAGCACTATATAATTTTTTTGGCATATTGCAAGAACATTAATCCAGCTTTCACAATTTCTGAATTTACAAGAACATAAACTCTTACTTTAGAGAAATACGGATTTGGGTTTCGTTTATTTTTTTTATTAGTTTGCTTATACTTTTTGTTTTTTTTATTTTTTTTTTACTTATTTTTTTTATTTATTTATTTTTGACTTCTTTGACACTTTGCGACTTTTTCTGGCAATTTGCAAGAAATTGTACAAGATTTTAAATAAAAGCAAATTAGTGCAATTCTTATTAAGAAAATTCATAAACTTTCAATATATAGAATATTAAAATTAGTTATCTCAACGAATATTGGGCCAATTTTAATGATTTAACTATCATTATAATCAGAATAAGGTGCTGAATATTGCTACTTATCAAAAGTTTTTAAATTTTCTTAATATAATTCGCTCTAAATCACTTTTTTTTAAAATCTTGTACAATATTATACATTAATTGTAAATTTAATTTGCTAATGTTTAATTTTTATTTCATATTTTTTTGTTTTTGTTTTTTTGGTTTATTTTAAAAATTTTTTTATTAATTTATTTTATTTTAGCATTTTGCAAGAACAGAACCCTTACTTCCTGGCATATTCAACAAAACCAATTTAGACTTTTTCAGCATTTTTTGACTTTTTTGATATTTTATAAGAACATTAATCTAGCTTTGCAATTATATTTTTTTAAATATAAGATTAGTTAATTTTTTTATATATAATATTTAAAAATTTTAAATAAAAAAATAATATAGTTTAAGCTATAAAATTTATAATATTTATTTATTTGAATAAATTGTTTTTTGGTTATTAATTTCAATATAATTTGAAAAAGTTTGAAAAAATGAAATAAATCAAAAAAATATACTATACGAATATATTTTAATTTATTATATTTTTGAATATTTAATTAATTTTAAATAAATTCGATCATATTCGCATTTTTAAATTATTAATTTACTATTTTATTTATTTTATAAAAGTTTTTTTAATACCGTCTAGTTAAGTAATAAATTTTGTATATTTTAAATAAATTTGAATTAATTCAAATCTCATCGAAATATTTCGTAACAAATTTTGTAATATATTACATAATATTTCGTAATTAAAATTTCGAAATATTCTACATCCATCGTAATTATTGCGAAATTTTTCAGGACATAATAACTTTTGTAAGATTATATTTATATATTTTGCTGATGTAAGTCATAAGATATCATTGATTTTGTTATTTTTTAAACTTTTGTTAATTTTTACTATATATATTTCTTTATATAAATTATGGATAACCCCTAATATATATTTAAAATTTTGATAAATTTTTATATATTTTTTAAGACTTAATTAGATATTGTAACTTGTAATATACTTATATATTGTATTTTAGATAATTGACCAATTAAATTTCAAGATCAGATATAACATAGTATGATCAAGAAGATATTTGTTTTGACAAATATTACTTATAACTCAAAATTTCATATATGAAACTATCTTTTATACTCTAACAAAAAAATTTTTTGCAAAATTTTATTATAAATACTCTTTTATATTGTATTTTAACTAGCAAATACCTGTGCTGTTAAGCATGGTATTAAATTTATTAAATTAATTAGATAGTTCAGTATAGTATGGGTTTTTAGTGCAGTATAATATATTCACAAGTTCTATATGATCTGTGTAATACCACTTGCAGATTATATCCTATACAATGCTATTTATTTATGTATCCTGTTCAGATCTGTATAACAAAAACAAAAAGCACCGATTACAAAGCATTTTTGTCTTATATAGTTTGTCTTATATCATAGTATTTATTTTATAGTATTTATCTTCTATTGTTTTTTTTTTTTTTTAATATCAAAGTATCCTCATGGTTGGTTGCCTTTATTAGTTTATGTGCTAAGCTGATCGAAGTCAACCACTACTCATTTAGTATATAGTTTTAGAGAGTACAACTAGCCTCATATACAATTTTTGATTGCCTATTTAAGTAGTCTGCCCGAAGGTTCTATACTAGATGCTATACCTATAATCAAACTAGAGGATTACCTATTTAAACCCTCTGCATCACTATATCCTTATGAGGAACCAATACCTGCTATAGAAAATGCCTGACCTAGGGCTAATTTACCCTCAAAGTAAACTTGCTAGAGCTTTCCATACCCACAATCCGGCTAACCTAGATTTCAGTAACTTACGCTGAGTCTGAAGATAGCAACTTGCGAGCTGAGACTGGCCGCTACCATTATCTACTTCTGCCCTTGTAGAGTTTACGCAGACCCTAGTACACACTTTACAGACTATCACTAGTTTTAATCCTGACAATCCCAAACTACCAATCCAGATGGCCTGGAAGGGTTGTAGCCTGCCTCTGGTCCCCACAGTTAGGTCCTTTTCTTCTGGTTACTCTTCTGGCAGCCTGGTTGGTGGAGTGCCTTGCCAAATACTTTGGTCCTGTTTAGTTTTGCCAGTTCTCCCAATAATGATCTTTTGGTAGTACTATCAAAAATCTGTATTACTTTTCTACTTGGGTCTTGCCAAGCAAGTGTCTATTATCCTTCTTGGTTCTCTAAGTTTACTACAATCCGAAAGCTTATTCATTTAACTCATATATTGCACAAATGCCCCATGATCTCCCAATCTTTGTTAGTACCACCAAGGTTACAGAGATATTCTAATCAATCAACGGAATAACAGTAGCCATCGTACAGATAGAATTTTCAAAATTCATCACCAGTGGGTTTCAAACCCCCTACCTAGCCAACATGTCACTTGGGTGTATGACAACTTAACCACTTCACTA